AAATCTATTAGTTATTATTACTCCTCCTCCTCAATATTTTCTCCTTCGTAAGGATGTAGTGGCGTCATGAAATTTGTTTAACTATTTCTCTCCGATTATCTCTCTCCTGTGCGTGTTGTTTTGCTTAGGAGAATGAGTAACCAGTCATCTCCTTTATTTGGTCCGACCATCGTACTGGAGATCTTCCTCTGGATCTTTCACCGCTACGTTACCTTCAAGTATCATTTGCTCCATGCCTTCTCTTCTTTTAGTTATATGTCCAAAATATCTCAGTATATTTTGGTTGATAGTGCTAAGGGAGGTCCATGGTATGCGCAACATTCTACGGTAGATCCACATTTCCAATGCCATTATACGCTTTGAATCGGCTTTTTCTATTGTCCAAGAGTCTGAAACATAGGTGACGCTAGGAAATATCAATGCTCGAACAAGGCGTATTTTTGTGTTTTTTGTGATGTCAGTGTTCTTCCAAATTTTTGTGAGATTGGCTGTTGCCGATCTGGCCATCGTGATGCGTCGACGGATCTCGTCTTCGCATTCTCCACTGTTAGTAATAACGGAGCCTAAGTAATTGAATTGCCTGACCACTTCTTAACCTGCCATGATTCTTATCTCTGCCTGGTTGTTTCTGATTCTATCGATGATCATCATTTTCGTCTTCTGCATATTTATTTTCAAACCATATACTGTAGGGGAGTGGTAGGAACACTGAGACGAAAAAATTTCAATGCCAATAACTTTTTTATTAAATGCTACTTTAAACTTATATTGTACAATGATATTTGGTATATAAATAAGAACTGAAAAATCATGTCGTTTTCTCATAAAAATTAATGTTAAAACCTCAAAAATATAAAAATTAAAAATTAGTAAATGTCTCACTGTTCCTTTCAATGTAGGAACACTGAGACGTAACAATTAACATTATTTGACGTTAAGACTATCAAAGTTTAATTCAAATTTTAAAAGCGAACTTTGGCGCTTGGTTAACCCTTGCATTAAAGGGGGCGGCAAAATCATTTTAATGTCTCTTTTTAATACATGTGAGACATCTAGGACAACTGGAAAGAAGAACCTATTTTCACATTTAGCGCTTTTTCGCAAAAACGATATTTTAAAATCATTTTCTTTTATTTGAGACAAGACTTTTCCTACATAATATGTCTTTTGCTTAGAGTTGAATTCAACGAGCACATAATTCCCATCATTTGGACAGCGATTAAGATCTTCGAAAATAATTGGTTCTGGATCTTCACCAATAAAATCCTCCCCTCCGCTGAAATCTTGTAGTTCCATCTCATTTTCGTCTTGCTCGTCAGAATCACTATCTAATACGCGCCGTGCTACTTTTTTCTGTTTTGGTGTTTTTTCTTTAGATTTAATCAGCTCCATTTTTTCCGGGGTATCCGTAGCTATCATTGTCCTTGCTTTGCGTCTTTTGTTGCCCTCTACAGATTTCCTTGTCGGAGCTTTAGGATAACCCTTAAAAATTGTTGGACTAACAAAGGTTTTAGTAGTAGTAGCAGTATGACTTGGACCTGGATTTTCTAAATCTGGAGATTCACTTATCTTTTCAGCAGCAGCTTCACCTGCAATAAGCGGCCTATCTGTCACAAAACTTGACAAAAAATCTTCTTCAGCGAAGACATGCCGATCGAATGGAAATATTCCAGATTTTCGAAAAGCGCTTGCGATGTTAACTGGCGTCATTGCTCGTGGATATGCTGTGCCCACACAGGCTGCTACGTTGTAAATTGTAAATGTCTGACCGGGATGGTTCATCATCCATGCATCTACTGCAGCATTGTAGAAAGTCTGAAATGGCTTAAATAAACCTACGTCCAACGGCTGTAATCTGTTCGTGCAGTGTGGCGGTATAGTCAGGATTGTAACGCCATTATTTTTACATAAATCGATTGCCTCAATCGATAAATGACTTTGATGATTATCCATTAGCAATAAAGAAGGGTTTTCTCTAGTACTACCAGTGTGCTTAATAAAATGCCTAACAACTTGCACAAAGCACTCTGTATTCATCCAACCTGTTTTTGAAGCTAGTCCTAAAGTTCCAGGAGGCGACCCATTTATCATAAAATCTTTAAAGTGTACTCTTGGGAATACCAGAGCAGGAGGAATAGCTACTCCAGATGCTCCAACAATACAGCATGTTGTAACGAGTGTTCCACGTTCGCCACTTGTGGCTTTACTAACCTGTCGTATACTTCTTTCTGCAAACACTTTTTGGGACTTTTGAACGGTAACGGTTCCTGTCTCATCTAAATTAAAGATGCGACTACCATCTCCAAACACAGGGAAACGCTGTAAAACGGTTTCAAGTTTACTGAAAAACATTTCAACATTAAATTTATTGAAACCGGTTGCCCTTGCAAGACTACAACCTTCTGGGGTCCGGAGGGATAAATTATTGGAATGACGTTTCTGAAATCCTTTCATCCAGGCAAGTGAAGCGATTTTTGAAGTATGCCAGTTTGCTGGAACCACTATGTTATTGTAGACTGCGGCTTCATATGACAGTTTTCGGGTATCTTCTCTTGATAGGCCATAAAACATTTTAGAACATTTAATTATATATTCGCACAAGTCATTCTCCTGTTCGATAGTAAAAATTTGTTTTACTTTGTAATTAGGACATAAACGGACGTTCTCATCTTGTTGATATTTTTTAACATATCTGTGGACTGTTTGGAAAGATACTCCTTTTATTCGTGCTGCTTGCCGTATAGAAGTGCCACCTTGTACTAATTCAACAGCCTGTCTCATCAGATCTTCAGAGAATCTTCCTATTTTCCGATCTGTTTTATTTTTTCTTGGCATCTTCGTTCTGTAAGAGAAATTATTTTGCAAATGACCTGGCTTATACAACTATAACGGAACAGTGAGACAGTAAAGGAACAGTGAGACGCGTCTCACTGTTCCATCTGCTGTGTTGTCTCACTGTTCCTTAAAAAATCGTTAATAAAAATATATGAAAAAAACTAATAAAATATGTACAAAAATCGTTTGTTTTAATTTAATTGTTTCCTAAAATGGTTTACTTTGTAGTTAGAATAACCTACCTTGTCTAAGAAACTTCAATTTTCGTGAAAACAGCGGCCACGTGGATACGGTATATTTACTACGATGCACTCACTTCAAATGACCAGCGATAACTAAAACATTTCTTGTTGAATCTTAACGGTTTCTTGTTTGCTTCCCTTTAAGGTGGTAGTAGGCATGTTCGTTTAGTTCTACCTTATAATACCGAACGTGGTAAGCTCTACCGCGTTTGTCTCAGTGTTCCGACCGTCTCACTGTACCTACCTCTCCCCTACTCACCGTGCCTAGCCTATTCATAATTTGTTTCAGTTCTTCTGGTGATGATGCCAATATAACAGTGTCATCAGCATAACGTAGGTTTTTGATTTTTCTTCCTCCTATCATTGCTCCACCTTAACATTCTTCAAAAACTTGACGCATAATATGTCCACCATATATATATATATATATATATATATATATATATATATATATATATATATATATATATATATATATATATATATATTATTTGTAGTCTCAGCAATTGGTCTGTGTGAAATAAAACTCTATTTGTTATTTCTCAATATTTCGTCACGATTTTGTGACTTCTTCAGGAGAAAACTGTAAATTTATTATAATTATTATATGTAAACAAAATGAATATTTCAATACTTACAACTTAAGATTGAAAATTTTAAATTTTGATAACATATCCAATTAGATAAATGACATTCTTTTGATTTTAATTTATTTGGGAGTTATGGTAACCGCAATATTTTATAGAGTGAATTCCCATTGTACAATTTTTAGCGAATAAGTTTTAATAAAAAATTACATATTGTGACAGTATTATCCATATAATAAGGTGCAAAAGTAGAATATTGAGAAAGAATCAGGAACATGGTAAATTGATCTATAAAATGTAATTGATGGTACGTAGTCAGTTATTGGTCTGATGTTGTTAGATACTGATATTAAGATCTATCATATCATATATTGTTTAGTATATTACAGTAGATATTACTTAAATGGTTGGTGTCTGTCTTATAATTGATAGATTCTGGAGTTTTATTAATGTGTACCATTTCAAGGAAAAGTCGATTTTTATAATTATCAATTTGTTCTAAGATTTTTACATTATTAAAGTCAAAGTTATGTCCTGTCTTTAAGTGGTGGTCTACTAAGGCACAAGAGTTTTTTCGTAAGTTACAGTCACTTTTGTGTTGAGTGACACTACTGCTTTTCTAAATTTTAGCTTTTGAATTGACGCCTCAATTTCTGATTTTAATATTTGAGGTTCTTCTTCATAACTTCTTTTCTCTGTATACGGTCAACGTCTGGGTCGTTATTGGAGAATAGTATTTCGCAATATTATTTCCACACCTCTGCGATACCGACTGGGTTTGTCATGGTATTTTCACTATTATCTTTGAATGATCTGTGTTGTCGGTTTGAATTCTTTCGCTAGATACTTGATTTTTGAGAAAAGTTCTCTAGATTGTTGGCGGTCAGCATGTTTCTCTAGCTGTATTTATGATGCATATCTTTATTTCTTTTTGTTTTGAATTTGATGTGCCGTTTCCAAGTTTTTGTCTTTCTTCTACAAGATTGAGAGTTTCTTCAATCGTCCAATGCTTTTTCCTAGCTGTTTTGTCTTTGGGATTAGTATTCTTGATAGCTTCATTGATCCATATCTTTGTGTAATCCCACGTTTTGTCAGGGTCTCCGGTAGTCACTGGTAGGTCAGCTTCTGCTAATGCTTCTCTAAACTTTTTTGGCTGTTTTGGAATCAATTAGATATTATTAGCGACATTTATTTAATGAGACATCTAAATTATTCTGTAACTATTTTAAAGTTATCGCCTTTCTTCGGCATCTACAATCTCATTTGTACTCAATTGTAACTGAAGCTGTTTATGTTTTAATTATAAACAATTTACTACTTGTTAGTTTTATTTTAGAAAAACGGAGTTTTTTCTGAACGTGATCTTTTTCTTGGCTTATCCTTTAGCCATATGTCTACAAATTTGTGGTGTTTGCTGTTGTATAAAACCACCCGAGTACGGTGTAACCGAACAGTCTTGCTATAATTCACTAAATATGGTAACGATCAATGAAAGGATTAAAAGGAAGGTGAGTAATATACGCTCTATTTATCTAGCTCTCTGTTGAATGTACACAAAAGAGTCAACAACGTCAAATTGCAATAATACTGCGCATAAGTAATCTGTGAACGACATATGGTCTAAGATACGATATAAGAAAAACTTTCACCGATATTTTTATTGGATAAAAATTATTTCATAGGTAATTTAGTATGTTAAAAATTATAAAAAACAACAAAGCCGATATAATTTTGTCCAGACTATAATTAATTAATAATTGAAAAATGACCAAAGATATTTTATTCAGTACAAAAATGTTATTATTCTTATCATAAATATAAATATTAAATTTCTAAAATATTGATTCCATTAAGTGACTTTTATTCTACTTCTGATTCGTCACAACTAAAATTTTCATCAGTGCCTTCGCTACATTCTCCATCATCTACCATCATTTTGAGAATGTCTTGTAAACTGGGTACGGTTGTAACAATTTTCCTTTAGTGCTTCAGAGCACAGCTATTATAGCTGTAAGCAACGATCAATGTCTTTGATGTGAAGTAATATCCATTTGTCTTTAAATTAATCTCAAAACCAATACTTCAATTAAAATAGTTTGGTGGGAATATGTCATTTAAATAAGTGTGTGCGATTGTTACAACCGACCCCATACCAGGGGCGGTTGTAACACAAATAGGGGACAGTTGTAACATTAAAAAATAATACATAAATCGCACATATAAAATCAGTTTTAATATTTTTAATCAGATTTATTAATTAAAAAATACCAAATAAAACCAAAAACAAATTATTAAAAATTACCAAACAAAATCTGAGTTTAAACAAATTATATTTTCCTATATTTAATCAGACTCATCACAGTTGTGGCATATATAATATCTACTCCCATCAGTACAGGTCACGTGAGTCCATTGTTTGCAGCTACCTTGGCACTGAATCCAACTGTCTCCAGATCGACTTGCTGAATAGGTCTCTAAGCAAATAAGGCAATAATATTCTTCTTCTGATGGTGTATTAACCTTCATTTTCTTCTCTTTTCCTTTCCCTTTATTTTTGATTACCTTTCCAGTAGATAATTCGAGTACTTGTTTCTTTGTTTGTCTATTTTTTAACCATTTCTGTCGCTCTTCATACTTCTTTCCAGCAGCTTCCTTTTCTGGAGTATCTGTAGATAACAGACTTTTTGATTTTTCGACCTCTGTTTCCTAGTTTTCTAGATGGAGGTTTGGGGTAAGGCCGTAAAGTCTCAGGCGAGAACTCAGACTGTTTGCTTGTAGACGGTTCTGATGGCTGACACAAAACAGCATCACAAGGAGAGATGTCTGATTCCAGATGCATTGTACCAGCTTGCCATTCTTGGCTAGGTTCTAGAGATGTTTGTATAGGCGGTGTTTTTGTTGCTTCGAGCTCAACTATTTCAATTGGTTTCGAGCTCAACTATTTCAATTGGTGTAAGCATTTGGTGGTCAATTAATGTTTCCTTTTTAGGATTGGCTGGGCATACTATGATATTTGAATCACTGTTACAGTATCTTTAGTTAAAGTTCTATTTTCCTTCTCAGTTGGGCTTACTGCGCTGAATGAAGGTGGATCCTCATTTAATAACGAAGGCGATAGTGATTCGTCATCAGGTGCAAGTCTAATGTTATGTTGATTAGAAATGCCCACCTCTTCAGTTGCATTTGGATTAGGCCTGTCTGTCACGAACGATGGCGCAAAATGAATTTCTTGAAACAAATCGCGGTTGATTGAGAAGATCCCTGTCTGTCGAAACCCAACCTGGATATTCATTTGAGTGAGAGCAAGTGGCATTGCGATAGTTATAATATCCGGTATGTCGTAAATAGTCATGAAGGGCCCATAAACGGATCTATCTAAGGGCTGTAGCTTGTGAGAGCAGTAGGGCGGAAATGACAGTAATACTATCCCATTATCTCTGCAAAAATCTAATGAGTTGATATGTGTATGGGACGAATGATTGTCTAGCACCAATACCGGCACCGATTGATCCCACTGGTCCGTCTCTAATGAAATGCTCTTGATATATAATTCGAGGAAATACGAACTTAAGTGGAATGGCGTTGCCTAATGCGTTTGCTGCAAATGCTAGTGTGACCAAAGTGCCTCGTTCAGCAGAAGTAATTGTCGGAATTTCTCTTCATGAATGAACGAAACCATTCTTCTCCAGCCATTTTATTTTCCAGAAAGGGAAGCAGCGTTTAAATTATATTTTACGGTAAGTTCAAAGGCCAACTTCCTTACTTTTTTTGTGGAGAGACCAAAATGTTCTTGGTCTTCATTAAAAACTCTGTTATGAGCCACATATCCCATTTTACCCTACTATCAAAGGTGTTTGGTCCCGAATAAAGCCTGTTGGTTTTAAATAATCATCTAAATGCCAACCACAGTTTTCAGGCTGGTGTTTTGTACATTCCGACACAGTTGCATTAACACATGGAATTAACAAAAAGAGTTCTAAAAACTGTTTGTTGTAAAGATTTCCAGCATAGTGGTATAGTGTTGGAGTCAAAACTTTTATTTTTTTTTTCAAAAACTGTAAGTTTTAATAAAAATGCGATTTCTTGAATCATTTCCTCTGTTGCAGTTATTCACGGCATACATTTACGCGGTAAATTCTTGAACAACATTAATTTTTTCATCAATGAATATGTCGGCTTCATCAATTAACAGTGTAAAAATTTTCCTTTATGTATTATAAAATGCTGCTGTGCAATCGCAACCTGTATTGCAGGAATTGCAATATTATATATTGCAGTTTTCCTGCTTTCCACGCTGTACGCGTGGAAAGCAGGAAAACTGTGACATAATTTTGAACCCAACTCTAGAGCCAAATCGATGCAGTTAATGAAATCAAGCTAATTAAAATCTTTGATCCAGGTGCAATTTTATGAGCATGAAAAAAAATCCGCGTATCCGATTCTTCGTGGTAACATGTAAAATCATCAGATTCTTAGGTTTTTTGTAGTTTTAACAAAGGCGTACAGAAAGCAGCTTACTACCCTAACAGATAGGAAGAGTCTATTGAGGGTAACATGTGCATACAAAATAGTCTTTGCCGAGGCGCTGGGGGTTATCACCGGGTCTATTCCGATGCACGTGCTAGTGAAGGAAAGAGGAATATTATACGAAAGATGAAATGAAGAGTATACGAAAGACATAGCAACAGAACATTAAAAAAGAAGAAAGGGAGAGGTCCATAATGGTGTGGCAAGAGGAATGGGACAAGATGAAAAGATGGATGAACTGCTATCATCGGCGTTTGGATTACTTCCTGACGCAGATGCTCACAGGATATGGTTGCATCAGGGCATACCTTTACTTATTTAACAAGGTAGAAAATGACAAATTCTTGTACTGTGAAATATCGGATACTGTTTCACACAATTTATTGGTATGCGATAGATGGATAGATGAGAGAAATCTGCTTGCGAGATAGCTAGGAAGAAGGGGGCAATCAGTTACGGCGTTGGTAAAGGAGATGCTTAGGTCGTCAGATCGGTGAAGAGCAGTTTAGGGATATGTGAGGAGAACGTTGGAGAGAAAGGAACAAGAAGAAAGGCGACCCGAAGGGAAGCAGGGTGCCTATGAGCAAGCAAGAAGATAAAGCAGAATGGGAGGGGCGAGATTGAACATGAAAGGGAGGAATACAGAGAGAGAAGAATTCATTCGTAGTGAGAAAGTGCCAGAATGCGTGAGAATTGTGAGTGAATGAGAGATCGGGTGAATGCCGTGCCGATGTTGCGTCCCAATTAGGGAGATCAGGCCGGTAATGGAGCACTAAGGGGGTGTTATTTTAGCAGGTCTCTCTGGCATTGACATCGATGGTGTCCTAACAACCGCTACGTGCGCTCTCGGATATCATCGTGGCCACGCTGAAGGAATCCTACATAGCCGAGGCTGGAAGGCGGTTCTGCCCACCTTCTAGGACCGAGGTATATTTCGAACATTTGGACCAGCCCCCTCATAAAAGACGAAAAAAAAGTTTTTTTCGTCTTTTTAGAATCTATCGGAGTTTTTGTGTCTTTTTGAATTTTGATTTTTTGCAAAGAGTGTGGAGTAACATCCTTAATAGTTAATCCAATATTTTCTTTCATAGTTGATACTATTTTTGTCGTCGTGCTGTGGCAGAGTACGCATGCTTTGTACTCATCGTTAGTGTTAAATTTGTTTTTGAACTCACTAGTAGAATTTATAAAAAGTAATTTTTTTAATTATTATTTAATTATATCCTGAACAAAATTATATCGGTTTGTTATATCGGATCCTCTACTAAGATGAACTGGATCTGAACACTGGAATTGAGAAAAGAGTATTTTTCTTTTAACTGCATATTACTAACAGTTCACGTCAAACTTACGCTAATGAGAAAGCGTCCCCTAGATGTCACATATCAACATTTCCATCCGTCCCTGTGTTTTGTAAATTGTATTGCCTTTTTTAAATTTGCCAAATTGTTTTTATTATTATTTTTTTCAGAATAACTATTACAAATGTGGACAGAACCTTGATATCTACAGAGATGAAGATATGAAAGAAGAACAAGACACCTACTATGTTATAGACCAAATGAAAAAAAGTCAAACATCTCTTCATGTAGGGTTTTGATTTGTTTTATTTTATAGGAATAATCCATGAGGTTAAATGTATTTAAGGCTTTTCAATACATGTAATTTTGGTATATTTTGTGTTTTTATTTTTAATCGGTGCAGAATCAGACACCAGATTCAAAGAAAAGTCAGAAACATGTAATTTAGTAAGTAATATGGTCACGGACGTACCTATATAAGGGGTGGTTAGTTTCGGAAGAAAGCCATTTCTCAAAATTCAAAAAGTCAAAGTAGATTACTTCAAGTAACATAGTTAATGCAGAGGCGACTGAAAGAAAGACTCAGCGACAAAAATAGAAAAAAAGATGACATAAAAGATTTTATAAAATATAAATAAAACAATATAATTAAAGCAAACAGTCCAAGATAAATGGTAAATTTATAATTGAAATAAAAAAATAACTAATTATATATCTCTCTAAAAATTAAAGCAAGATTATGATTGTATACTTGCCTACAAACTCCTTTAGAGCTTCTCCATAGAGGTAAAATGGTTAATGACTCCCAAGGTCAATAATTCTTAATCACACTCACATGTATTCTACATATTATTGTTTGGTTATTCTGTCCCGATCTTTTTTTGTAAGTGTTGCAGTAGATTTTTTCAATATTCCATTTATTTTATTTTATGACAAAGGATGATCATTTTTTGAGGCTCCACGTGTAATGTCAGTTGCATACATTTGTAAGAAGTACTATAGTCATAGTCTGGGTGTTGTTGTTGTTGTTTGTTTGTGTTTAAATGACTGCGGACACTAAATCCATTCGCCAATCTTACAATTTGAGGTGTAGTGTGTGTGTGTGTGTGTGTGTAGAGTAATTGTCTTGATACTTAGCAAAGTCGACGTCATTGTCTTTGCTAAGAGACGCTAATTGTATCCGAACGTCTGCGGTCCCTCCGGTGTGTACCGATCACACAAGGATAGAAATTATTTTCATTTATTAATTTTTTTTAATAAACGAAAATTTCCACCCAGGTGGGATTCGAACTCACGACCTTTAGGTTTAAAGGCAGGCGCTCTTACCACTGAGCCACAGAGGGGGTATAGTCTGGGTGCATAGGTTCTCTGGTCTAAAGAACAGTCCTCCATTCCACATCACTGGAACAGCCCTATTTAATTTGGGGCAATAGATCAATAATATTTACACTGCCACTGTTTTTTGTGACCATGCCAAAGCTTTTGGTTGTGTAAATCACATTTTGATAAAATCTAAATTTCTACAGAATTAGAGGTATTTTTTTAAATTGGTTAGAATCTTACTTGGGAAATAGGAAGCAAATGGTTACAGAAAATTACACTGACTCTACTCACAAAAGTATTGCATATGTGGAGTACCAAAAGGTTCAGTATTGGGTCCTCAACTTTGCCTTGTCTGTCATTAATTTAAAAATCGATGCAAAATTGTTCTTTTTACTGATGATGCCAGTATTACCTGAAGAAAATCTAATATTGCAACTCTTCATGCAACTGTGACATCTAATCTACTTAAAATAAAAACCTGGTCTGACACTAATTTACTCTATTTTAACGTGGATAACGCAGTAGCATTATCCTATAGGTAAAGAAACTCTGTATCGTTGATTCTGTAAAATTTAATAATATTTTTATAGACAGCAACCTTGAATGGTCACATCGATCTGTTAAATAAGAAACTAGCCTTAGCCTGCTTTGCAATAAGATCTGGTTTGAAGGAAATCAATTTAACATCTTCCAAGATAACATATTGTCTTAATTCAAATTACAAAAAAGAGCAATACGGAATCTTTTTGGCCTTAGAAAAACTACCCATTGCAGAAGCTACTTCAAAAATCACGAGATTTTCACGCTTCTCTCATTATAAATTTTAGAAACTGCTTAACTCATTAACACCTACATGTTTTTCCAGCAAGACCTAATCATGACTACTCCACCAGAAATTCAATCTTTCATGTTTATTTGCCACCCCGTCCACTATGAGTAAGTGAAGAAAAATTATTTATCCCTTCAGCAAAAACAACTATAAAACTACCTTTCTTTACAACTTAAATCTGCAACATCTTTCCCCAAGTTCTGTAAAATGGCAAAAACCTATCCATCTGAAACCATATTATTCAGAAGAGTTTTTTAAATGAGTAACTAAAAATTAGGGTATCTTTGTGTACAAGTAACTAAAGTATTATTTATATATATTTGAGTATCATATGTAGTAACTTCAATTTATTAGTTCATAAGGTATTATTATCCAACTTATTTAAATTTTGCAATGGTTTGTTTATTTTATTATGTAACATTGAGGGTTAATGTAATTTCAGTAAATTGTTTTGTTATTTTCACACTTTTTGTAAGTTTTGCCCATAACATTGTACAATTTTCAGTCATGATACTATGAATAACAAGATAGGATCTTCCCGTAGCTCAAAATCGGTCGGGTTCGCGCATGCCGTCATTGGAGACTAGAATTTGAAATCTTGTTAAAGTTAAATGAGATTTGTATGCATTCTGTGATGAAATTACTAGACGAAAATAAGTTAAGAGGTTTAATAATTACAATAATCGGACACATAAGGATATCTCCAAACTATTTATTAAAGATTATTTATTGATATATACAAAAACTGACATTTCGAACGTGCAAGTCTCCAATGACGTCACAAAAACATGCGCAATATCTTATCTTATAGTCATAGTATCATGATTTTCAGTGACAATAAAGATTTCATGATACCTAGATTCCTACTATGTACTAGACCAACAAAAAGAATACTGTCGTGTCAAATTTGGGGCCAATGTCTTCTACATTTTCTCAGAGAAGTCCTGAAGCTTGGTATACAGGTTTCTCTTTGCTCAACTAACAACAAGTCAATAGATCTTCTAAAGTGTTAACCTGCTAAATCCATTTTACCCAATTTTACAGGAGAGACAAAAAACGATTTCCCAAAATTTGTTTTTATAAAAATGAATGGAAAACAATAAAATAGTGCTTAAAATTAGTATAAATTGTTGTATCATTGAAATTATAAAAAAATATACTGATAATTTTAGTTTTTAGTATTTTTTGGTAGATAGCTGGTTATTAGTTTTTCAAATTAGTCTAACGATATAGCCCATCTCCGATGTGTACAGTTCTTAGAATGATACATCCAATTATATCATTTAATTTATCTATTGGTTTCCATTGATCAGCAAAGCCGGCTTTATAATAAATTTCGCCTTCGGGTGTATACCTCAAAGCACGAATATCTTTAACTTTTAAATCACCTTTACCTCTTTCCTGGTCTGTTTTATAGCGCTGAATTGAATAAAGATTTTTGAAAAAATCATGTGTTAAATATTTTACTTGGTAGGGAGCAGGCTTTTTCTTGCTTTTATACAAATAGGTACGTAATCCGCTGGTAGGATTAACTTTACCTTTGAGTTTTTGTTCGATGGTTGCATGAACCGAATTAATTTCCATCTGGGTATAGCCAGATTCAAGATATTTTTGCTCAATTATTACACTATGAGTGATTGCTAGATTCAACAGAACATTGACCATAACAGCGTTTCTATTTTGGTACCCACAACCATCCGAATACATTATAATGGTGCTTCTTTCATCAGTCCGTTCTACAGAATGAGTGACACTGAGTAAAATTTTCTGTTCTATGAAATACATCCAAATAGTGGCAAATTCCTCAGAAACAAGACCCCCTTCACATTCGTTCCATATAAAACAATAGGCATCGGAATTCACTAAGTTATAGAAGCAGAGATTGTGTACTTGGAGCTTTTTTTTTGTAGGATAATGTGGAGACTTTTGATTTTGGTACCATCAACACGGCTTGCAAATCTGCTGTGAAAACATTTTGTTTCTCATTTTTATCTTTTTCTTCTCTTGCTTCTACTTTCCTCTGCATGTGACTTTTAAATTCTTCTTCCGAAAATTGTCCAACCCTATAGCTAACACACTTTTCACATTAATCTTTTTAAGGGTGGAAAACTGCAAAGTTCTTCTCATCGAAGGTTTTAGAAAACGATGCTATCGAAAAGGGCTCTTCTTTCCTCGATTTGCACCAATCGTTGACATACAATTCGTAAACACTTTTCCGAGACTGCCATTCAGCCAAAAGATATATATATATATATATTTTTTTAAATGTTGACCTATAATAATGTGACTCCATATCTGGTAAAGAATCTAAAAATTGCAGCAAACATTCACGGATATCTTTGAAAGGTAGTACTTGGAGCACATACTCCATAACACTTTTCCAGTTAAGAATTGTCCAGGGACCAACTACGACAGTATTAAGAAACATGGTTCTGCACACTCTGAAACTTTCTTCTTGAACCGGTAGAAAATATTCTATTCCCCTTTTGTCTGTTTTTCGGTTCCGACGCCTTTTAGTCGTTACAAATTTAACCTGATTATTAATAAAAACCTTTTTTTCTCCCAGACATTTGCCAAAATGACTCAAAAATATGTTGCCTTTCATGTTCACTGATCAAGGAACATTTCATAAGACCTTTTTCTTTCGATGCACATTTCATTCTTGGTTTCATAACTCGTGCTTCTTTAGGATTATCATAAGACAATTTTTCATCTTGTTTCACTCTACCTAAATAAGGTTTACCACTTTCTCTTAATTTTTGTTTTTCTGACTAAACCATGTTGCCTCCTGGACTTGGAAATGTTTTTTTTTCGGTTTTTACTTATTATTCTCTTAGCTTCATCTAAAGATGAAATTGAATCTGTGTCCGAATATGGAACTAAATTAATATTGACTTAGCTATCATCAGATATTCCTGATATCGTTGAATCTCTAGTAGAAATTTGGAACTGATCTTGCTTCTCTTCATGTTCGTTGACTTTCGATATTGGTATCTCCTCATTTTCGTTTCTGTTCAGTTTTCCAACCATCTGGTTCTGGTTTGAGTATCTTAAAAGGCTTCGGTCATTGGTATCGCTATCAAGTAGTTTAATTCATCAGTGCTCTCTGATGGTAGATTTTGGGCCAGGGAATCTCTATTGCATTGTTTTTATTTAATGTGTTGGAAGTAGACTGTAGATTCACAAAAATTATTTTAACATTTTCAGTAACTTCATCCTTACTACTGGGTCAGTTTGCTTCCACTGTAAAATCTGTATCTTCATTGAGGTGTACAATTTCGTTGAAATTTATTGTCTTCAAAGTTGTCTGCGATTATGTGTATGACTATGTATTATAAACCAACTTTAAAAATTATTATAAGTATTTTTTCCTATTAAACATTATTCCAACAGTAAAAATAATTAAAAATTTTTCTTTTTGATTTTTTTTAATCAGAAATAAAGCTAAGTCCCTTAGTGAAACAAACAAGATTTATCGTGAAACCCACATTTTACAATTAAAGTTAACAAAAATGAATAATTTAATACACATCTACACTTACCTTCAATAAATCGCTCAAATAATTATAAACAGTACGAAAAACTAACACTGCTGCAAAGTGTGTACTTGTCACATCAAGTTTTACTATGCAAATGCATGACTGTCAATGACAGCTGTGTTTACACAGGAAAATCAGAACAATTTGAGTTAGCTGATATTCACATCAACCTAATATTTTAAGATTTAGAAAAAAAAAATGGCATGACTGTTTAACTAATCGATACACTAAATTAATACTATTATGAAGATGTGGACTTAGCAGGTTAACACTTTAAGGCACCGTTATATTCTTGCCTTTTCAAGAATTGTGACTGTATTTTACCCACCGTCCCAAATTTTTCGTAGGAATATATGACTATTTTTTCCCCAATAAAAAGTAAATTTCACTGAAACAAAATTTGTTTTATTTAAAACGTTTTCTTTGGATAGAAGCCATACCTAACACAAGAATTTCATTTTTAATCATAAAATTTCATTTTTAATTACCTTTTTCAAGGTAATCTGAACAAACAAGCAAAAAGAGCATAAGAAGCAATATAACCAGTAAACTTGAAAGAGGTGGCTGCTTGGAAAAATTGTACTCCCTTGATATTAATGAAAGGAGAAAGAATTCCCAAATAATTAATAAATATTAATTCTGATATTTTTTCTAAATAAAATCAAACACAATATAATTTTTAAAATTTATTTTTTATAAAGATATATGTTTATCTTATTATCTATGCCGCTGGATCATCTCCCTTTGTGGTCCTAGTGTAAATAAGTTGTGCTCTGTGTTGTACAACTTGTTTAATAAGACCTGAAAACAAAACAAACCTATAAAATCTGAAAATATTCAAATGAACACAAATTATTCAAATACAAAAAAAATCAGACTCATTAAATCAGTTTTTGCTATCAGGCTTTCAAGCAGAAATGTGTCATCATGAAATAAAAAATAGGAATTAAAAATGTTTTTATAATAGAAATGCTCAGGAACTTAAAAGAATTAAATTAAAATCATTCTAAAGGGCCATCCATTGTAAAAACTATTTTTGTTGATAATCATAACAAGAACCAAGTTTTTAACATATAGACTGATAATGTTCAGAATTAATAAGTATTGCTTGTATATTGTTGTATTTTCAAACAGAATAATAGAAGAGTTAATAAACATTAGGAGTATTACTGTTTTCATATCAGAGAGCTCTGTATTTCTTATATGAAATTCTGCTAAATATGTGTAAATTCACAGCTCTATACCACTGCAAATGTACTACAACATATTACATCAATTAAAAATATAATGTAATTGATATGAAACCTAGCGACAGATCTCTTATAAATCAAATATTTTTTGCTATTCTTCTAAAATGTGTGTTTAATAGAGAAGACAATTATTTTAATGAAAGATCAAGTTACTAAAAGGAGTAATTAAATTAGTAAGGCTAGTCGAATTAGTCTGAAATTTGAAGGTATTAGAATTCCCTTTTTATTCACATTATAATCTATACATTTTTTCCCTATAGAGCTATAGTTTTTCTCTATTTCTCATTCACCAATATTCTGACACCAATTTCAAATTTCATCTGCCATTACAACTGATGTCAATGATATACTTTGCATAGTGCATACTTTTTGAACCAATGTTGCCACATTTTTCAAATATATTGTTTATAGTCAAAATACTAATTCTTGAGTACCCCTATAAAGGAATACATAATGATAATGAGTGTCATTTCAGTTTCCTGTTTCTAAGAACTTTATTTCATTTGTTATTAACTTTGTTATATATAATTTCTTTAATTTAGGTTTTACTTTGTTACTGATAAGTTTTTGAGAAAATACTAAGAGTCCAATAACCTGTTTCCTCTTTGTGCAATCGCTATCAAACTAGTGAATATTCTGTTTTGTTTCATTCATTAGATGCATTGGTTATTAACTTTTTTAATTTAAATTTTTAGATTTGATTGGATTAGATTAGGTTTTATTTTGTTATTAAAAAATTTAAATTCAATATATTTATTCCACAAAAAACAATAATAACTCATATATGTAATATACTCTTGTTAAAATTTAAATTCTTTATACTTGCTCCACAAAAAACAAATGTTTATGTGGACATTGCAACTGCAGAATACTTTATATTGTGAGCTAATGTGCTTTACTTCTTTTTCCAAAGAATGAATTTTAGCCATTTTACAATATTGGCATATTTTTGTAAATTTTACAGTATTTACAAATGGTTTATACATTTTATATAACTAAGTGGCAAAAGTATAGAGAAAGTGATGATGCAGTAAGTTACAAATGATCTGTCAAATTTGTGTTTGCAGTATTTCCATGTCCTTATTATATATGTTTTATGCCTCATATATGCTTTGAAACAGTACATTTTTATTATATTATTTTATAAAATCAGGTATTTTTTAAAATTTATATAAAACACAAACTAATGAATATTTGTTTCTTTTGATATTAGTTGCAGTTAGTTATTAGAAGAAAAAAATTATAATTGGCCTTTGGTAGATTGACAAATAAACTTGGCAATACTGTCAAAACTTTGAAAATACTAGTTAGTTGCCGGATTGCAACAGATGTTCAGCAGATTTTAATTTTATGACTATTTTCTTATAATTTTGGGATAAAATGGTATCTGAATAAAAGCTTAAAAAATGAAATTTAATTTAAATTAATTAAACTTCTTTTAAAAACCTCAAAACAATGTTTACTAACATTAATATTATATTCCATGCTCTTTCGTGATTTATTTGTGATATGGCAACACTGCCAAATACAAATCTGTCTCTAATTAGTAGCTAACTTCATCTCAGCACTTTCTCTATACTTTTGCCAACTAAGGTTTTTTCAGACAATTTTCACATTTGGTCCCAGTGAAGATAGCCTCCAATTAGCTGTCAATTAAGTTTCACAGAAGGAAATATTGCGTTGAAAGTGTTGCCATAATCTTATAATGTATATCGCACACCTAGTTCAATAGTGCCACAAGTCCAAAATACAATAATTTCGAGAAATGAGCAAAACGTTCTGTAGCAAACGAGTTATGCCTTGTAAATAATTTATTTTTAGAATAACTGGCTTCAAAATTACAATTTAGTTAGCAAATTATACAGTTATTCGCTGGATCTTATTACAATTTATTAAAAATTAAACGTTAATTGTATTTTGATAGTTATGGCGATATTGCATTGTGAAGAAAGTCATTTATAAAACGATAAATAGGAGATACGGCGGCAACATAATAAAAAAATCAACTAGTTCTTACAAAAAATATTTTTATTATTATTATTACAATTGTGTATGAACATTTTTTTTAATTACTATTAACCAAGTCCTTATAAAAATTGTGATGAACAGGTAATATTAAGTTTTTATTGCACAGTTCCAAAAGGTGTTGCTTGGTTTTTGCAGATATCGATGGAGGCTTTATGTACGCCTTTTTTAAATCGATTACTGCTTCCACAGTTGCTGAACGCCCCCTTGTCGATGCTTTAAAATGGACCTCTTCGAACTCATCGGCATTATAATCTGTTTTATAGAAGAAAGATCCAGAATTGCTTTTGACAACTTTAATAACTTGGATATCATTCCAGACTACCTTTTCATCTTTTGTATTCTTTGTAAAATTTCCTCCAATTTTTGAATTGAGATCTTTAAAGTCATAAAAGTCTTCTGTTGACATTTCTTTTACATTGTAAGGATTTGCCTCTTTTTTTGCAGATCTTATGATGACAGGCCATTGTGCAGGAACATAAATGGGAACTGTTTTAAGTATTTTCTTCTTTTGCCTCTCAATAGTTGCGTGGATGGCGTCCCCTTCATTTTGGGTATGTCCCACTGTTAAAAATTTATGTATGATTGATTTAACATTAATTTTTCCAATTGCATAGAGATACATGGTAAATATAAATTTATTTTTATTTTGCCCAACACAATTGTCGCTATAAAATATAACGTCTTTATCATTACAATGATTTGAAAGATAATCAAACAGACGCGTAGCTATTTCGTTTGAGCCGCGGTTAGCAATAACCTCGTGCCAAAAGTAACAGTAACCAGTCTTTTGCAATATCTGAAAAATTGTAAAGTTAAAGCAGTTCAGGTGGCATTTATAGTAGGAGCTTGAAACATCTCCACAAGGTGTAGGAAGGATCGCCTGCAAATCAAAACAAGCTACCAATACTTGAGAATCATATTTTGCTCTTGCTAGATCTTGTGCTTTTTCTTCTCTGCTTCTAATTTTATTATGGATATGTTTATTATAAGTTTGATGAAGAGTAGCTTGGTGTTCAGCAGAAAAATTTTTATATGATTCACAAATTGCGCACTGATCTATTTTTGGCTGAAAGAAAGTTATGTTAAACTCAGTTTTGAAAATATGCTTGTAAGTGCATTTTTTAGCCACAGGCCTTCCTTCAATCTCTTCCTGTAGTTTGTAGTAGCGATACATTTGAGCTAAAGTAAGTGAACCATCTATGTATTCCTTTGTAGTTTGTGCTCTAAGATAATGTGATTTTTCTCTTTGGAAAGAATTTATGTGTTCTCTTATTTTATTTTTCACCGGTCCAGTAACCGTTTCTCGTTTTATTTATAAAAATATACCTGCTCTATGTAATCATCTTGGCGAGGGTCTGTATGTAGATTTTCTTGATCTTCAAATGTATTTGCGGTATGATTTGATTGCACGGGTAACGCAACCAGAGTAAGCTAAAAAATTACATACATTAAGTAAAATCTCACTGTGATTTTTGTTGAAATACAAACCTCCGTCATCACAAAGGAGATGTCATTCATAACCTCAAAAACCTCTGAATTGTCTCTCAGATTCTCATCATCTTTAAGATAGCTTTGCAAAGCTAGTCCAAGCATTTTTCTTGCCCTTGACATCGTGTTTGATAATAAAATTAATAATAATATCACTATACACTGTTTTCAGACTTTAAATCAAATAGTTGTACACTAAAAACGTGGATACCTCGTGCATAAATAATTGAGGAGTCGAAAGAAAATGCAAAAAAGTATTTTTGAAGTGTGTATATTTTAGGCAATTCCTAGCTGAGCGCTTTCGGCTTTACAAAGCCATCATCAGAGCTATGCTACAATAAAATGTTCTAGTAAGTACTAATTGGTAAAGATTGTAATTTTTAACTTACGTCAATTTTTAAATACCACTACAAAGGAGAGATCTCATTTCCTTAAGTTTCAAAATTATGATTTTTTGTAGGAGTTGGAATTCTTAAAACATTTTTTCAGACAAAAATTTTTTCAATTTTTTAACGTGTTTGTGAAGTCCAGTGTCGACTTTTTAGATGTTTTTTTATGTTTTAAGAATTCCAACTCCTACAAAAAATCATAATTTTGAAACTTAAGGAAATGAGATCTCTCCTTTGTAGTGGTATTTAAAAATTGACGTAAGTTAAAAATTACAATCTTTACCAATTAGTACTTACTAGAACATTTTATTGTAGCATAGCTCTGATGATGGCTTTGTAAAGCCGAAAGCGCTCAGCTAGGAATTGCCTAAAATATACACACTTCAAAAATACTTTTTTGCATTTTCTTTCGACTTGTCATAAGTGTGTACAAAAAATATCAGTCTTTTGATAAATAATTGAGAACTAATAAAATCGTACCACTAATCTAACAATTTTTGCAGTTGTGGCCGTATTGAATTACATCGGTTGTATTGTGGCGGAGTGTATTATCGCCACATCTTCTAGTTATGGCCATATTGCATTTTAAAACCCTACAGTGTAATACCGAAATATCTTACTTTATACTTATCCAAGACAATATTTCAGTTAAGGTTGTATTGCATTAGATGGGGTATCATATATGCAACCTTTTTAAAGCCTTAACTCAAAATTGGAATTTTTGGAGTTGTGGCAGTATTGAACTAGATGTACGATATGTTATAATATGCTTCAAATACAAAGAGATAAAGCTTTTAAAAGGTACATTTTTATCATATTATTTTATGGATTCTGTAATTTTATACCTTATATAAAATATTAATCAAGTAATATTTGTTTCGCTTGATATTAGTTGCAATTATTAGAAATTTTTTTTTGTTAGTTAGTTAGTGGATAGATTTGGCAAGAGTCAGAACCCTCAAACCACCAGCTACCAGATTGCAACAGATGCCTTTTAAACTTTATTATTTATACAGACATTTTACTATTTACTGTTAAACACTGTTTTAAAATTATTTACTTTTTCTCTTTTTTTGTAATTGTTAAATATTAGTTTTTAAATATCTTATTGCTTTTAATTGTATATGTTTCATTTGTAATGTAAATTTCAGCACTGCCAAACACCAATATTTCTTCCTGTCAAACCCATTTGAAGCTATCTTCAATGAGAATAAATGTGAAAAACGTCCATTTTTTCATATTTTGATACCATTTTCCACTTCCTACTTTTTTTGTGAATTTGTTTTTAAATATTTAACATTTAAACACTTTTCATATGTTTCTTTAAAAATAGACAAAACATGAAAATTTTGCCTAAAGTAAAAAAAAAATTCGGACGATTTTCACATTTGGTCCCATTGAAGATAGCCTCAAATTAGCTGTCAATTAAGGTTCACATAACGAAATATTGCATTGGCAGTGTTGCCATGTTCTTATAATGTATATGTTATATGCTTCAAATACAAAGAGATAAAGCTTTTAAAAGGCACATTTTTATTTTATGGATTCTGCAATTTTATACCTTATATAAAATATTAATGAAGTAATATTTGTTTCGTTTGATATTAGTTGTAATAAATTATTAGAAAATTTTTTTGGCAATTGCCCTTTGATAGGTTAGCGGATAGATTTGGCAATAGAGTCAGAACCCTCAAACCACCAGCTGTCAGATTGCAACAGATGTGGTTTAAATTTTGTTACTTATACTGATATTTTACTTTTACTTTTTTTTACTAAAACTATTTACTTTTTCTTTTTTTCGTAATCGCTAAATATTAGTTTTTAAATATCTTATTGCTTTTAATTGCATATGTTTAATTTGTAATGTAAATTTCAACACTGCGAAACACCAATATTTCATTGTCAAACCCATTTGAAGTTATCTTCAATGGGACCAAATGTGAAAATCATCCAAAAATTCGCATTTTTAGTTACCCTTAATAATCTAAATGCATACCCTAAAAGGAGTTGCAAAAAGTGAAGTAAAATAATGTAGTGCTCAATAGGAACATCACATAAACTCTACCAATGGTATGTTTTATAAATTATGATCTAACTGACAAACTTTACTGAAGAAAACTATTTCATTTAAGCTTTGTTATGTATAAAAGACTACACTACATAACGGAAATACCTTTCTGTTGTAGTTCAATAAGTGCCCTCCTTGCAAGGGATCCACGGACCTTCAAACGTTCAGAAACTACTGATGGGGTAATCAATTTGTAGGAGGGTACTTCCTTGTACAGTTTATCATAAGTAGCTTTGTCAAAAAGAACTTGGTTGTTTAACTTGTCACGAACTTTTCCTTTTGACCACTTCTAAAATACAAAAAAGATTGACTATTTAATAAAGTTTCAGGATAAATTATATAATTTTAGAATAATAGGAATACAAACCTTCTTTTTGGCTTTGCCACCTCCAGACCCCTCTTTCTTCTTCTGGGTCTTTTGGGGTTGCTTCGCCGACGACTTTGAGTCCTTCTTGGGAGGCTAAAAACATATTTCTAATGAAAATATTGTTGATAAATTTTAGATGTAAGTAATAAATTGTAAGTAACAATTCAGACTCATTAAATCATATTTTACAACCACGAAGATTGTCTTATAAGAGGTTATACATCATAAACACATGGAGATATATTTTCACATGTAGATTACAGCACAATTTACTCCATACCAATTTGTTACTATATTATATCTAAGATTGTTTAAATCAAATTAGCGTTTAAAAATTACCAGATAATGTTTAAATCATTATTTAATTCTAAAAATTAGAAATAAAAAATAGAGTACTTCCACCTACCATGTTGTCTTCTGTAAGAAAGGAGACGGAAACGGAGATAAGACGTTGACGTTAAATAGATTGTCAAACTGTCAAATTAAAATTGCCGCCATTAATCAAATATTAAAACTATTTTAACAATAAAATGTTAGAGTTTACCGAAAGTAAATATATTTGCAGAAAAATGTGTACACGAATATAATTTAAAGATTGAATATACTATGATTTAAATAATAGCAACTCTTAACAATATTTTAATAATTAAAGTGATTACTCAACTTACATAGTATAAGGCCAACAATAGGTATACAGGCAAAGAGCTATGTAAGAGAGAGATATGTATAATAATCTCTTACATATCTCTCTGAACAGGACACAGGCATAAATATCCACATACCTTTAAATTGAAATATTAAAATCGCAACTAGCTGAATTTATGCAATAAAACTTGTTTTGTTACAGATGAGGAAATATTTTGACGGTAAAATAATTTGTTAACACTTTTTTTACTCCATTGTTTATTATTCTGTTCTCCAGTGACAAGAGAAATGAACAAAGTTATAGGTTTTTCCCAGATGCCAAATTTGTAAAAATGAACATAACAGAAATGTCAAAATTGTCAGTGTCAAAGTCTACATCATGGAAGTATGGTGTTTTTACAATGTATTTCCTTAAATAAACGGCCGGTTTCGGCTGTAATCTTTAAAGTATAATTTAAGAAATATCTACAACAAAACGTATTTTACTAGATTTTATTTTTTATTAGTTAAATTTATTAGATAAATTATAATTATCCTATAAAAAAAGACACGTAGCCAACAGCTTTTAAGTGTATATTAGTTATGGTGTATTTTTGTTGAACTACTAAATAAACTTACACATCAGAAAAATGTTACCGTTATCACACAAGGATAAAGCATACCCAAGAGGCTTTGGTTCGAGAATAAAAGAAAAAGTAAACGGTTGGATTAGGTTAATATTTTCAGACAGAAACTCCAGAAATTTATTCCTCTTCCTTATACTTAATCTGTCTTTTGCATTTGTAGAATTAATTTATGGCGTATGGAGTAATAGTTTAGGTAAATATCACCTTTTATCTTAATCTCTTCTTACTTTATACATAGTTGTTTGAAACAAACAGGTCATAAATGATATTAGATATAAAACATGGAGTGTTATTACATGTTACAAATAATAATGAGGTACTGTTAATTTATAATTACTGATAGACATTTTTAACATACATATTATAATGTGTTTCCAACTAATGTCAGTCATAAAACTGGTTGTTACCAATAGCAAATTATTTAATTTAGTAAAGTTCAAATGGAGTTTTTATCTTCAACTGATGTTTGTTTTAGATAAGAATTATTGGTATTACAGATACATGTGTTGCTACCCTTTTCAGTAAAGGCTTAGGATTAAACTAAGCTAGTGTCACCAACATCTTCTGACTGTTCTTTTTTCAGTCACTTTACCTGGATTTATAGGTCGTAGCAAATTGTATCCCTCACCTTGTATGCTATGCTTTAAATACAGCACTTTTATTTCTATTGACATTTTTTCTCTTCGTTTCTCCATTCTTTAGTGATTTTTGTTCAATAAACCTTTTGATTAGTAGCATATAACTTGCAGAAACTTCTAACTAGTGTATATAATAATATGTTGACTTCAGTGTAATAACTCTAATTTTTCCTGGTATACCAGATGTAAAATTGTTCCCATGATATTTGTTTTGCATCTTGTTTGGTAATATATGAACTTATGGTTTAGTAAAAAGGTTAAAAAAGGTTTTTAAACCTAAACAGAAAGCCACATTTTCTTGAAGTCATTGATATGCTGTATGATCTAGAATTACTATGGAATAAAATATTTTGTTTTTTGGATCACTATGGATATGCTTCACTAATTTCTGTAGCCATTTCATTGCCAGGTAGTTCAAGAAACCATTTATGTTTTTTCCTGTATATCACCTTTATCAATATACCATATAGCAGAACTTAAATTTATTTTTAATCTTGTTTCTGGCTCTTTATAAACCCTAGCTGAAAAGCATACAGAACAACAGACAAATACATTAAGTTTCCTGTGACAACACATCAATACAATACTAGTAAAGCATTTATATAATGAGTTTATTCCTTTTAAACTTTATTATTAATTTGTAATATATTAGTAAAAACCATAACATTGGAAATTCCATTTATAGCTAAGACATGTTTTTTTTCAGTTTTGTTGGAAAACCCAACAAAAATTATTTGTAAATATGCAGATAAATATTTTTAAATTATTTCTATTTAAACCAGCATTATTTATTAAAATAATATTAATAGTCATTTTTTTCTTAATATTTTTGCACATTTATTCATACAGTTTTAGAATTGTGCATTTTTCCATATGAGAATAATTCATAATCTAATAAATACTTAGAAATAGTATCTATATAGTATCACATTTGTAACATAAATGTCTGCTAAGTTTTTGCTTCTTTTTTATTGTTACTTATGTAAAAAATATTAGAAGCAAATCATTTTAATAAAGATAAATAGGGAGGGAGAGGTAGATAGAGTCAGAGGGACATAGGGAGATAGATAGATAGAGAGAGAGAAAGAGAAATAACAAAAGAGAAAGAGATGCAATTGAGACCTAGAGATAAATGAGAGTCAGAAAGAAAGCAAGATACAAAGATATAGGTTCAGATAGAGAAAGAAATAAAGTCTAAAGAAAAAGGCATTTCTTTTTTAGCCAAGGACTTTTAACTGCTTTAGACTTTCCTCAAATTCACCAATAAGTTGCTCCAATGAGTCACCCTCATTCAATTTCATGGACAGCAACTTTTTTTAGGAATAGTTGTTCTGGTAGCCCTTTTCTCTTTTTTACATATGGTAGGCCTGTTCTTTGTCCCACAATATCTCTAACTGTGCATCAGAAACACATTGAACAATTATGGATTTTGCTTTATTGTACTTCTGGAATTTTTTCCTCTTACTCTTGCTTAAACCTATTATGTCAACTTTTCACACACTCTAATACTTCATTTTTTGCCAATATTATTTTCATCTGAAACTTCAATGATAAGTAATTCCCTTGTTAGGAACTCAGTTATACATTTTTCCTTGTGTCACACTGTACATGTGCATATAACGTATATCCACTTATTAATAACTTATTTTTCATGTTTGAACTGGACCCATAACTTTTTATTTTCATTTATTATCAATTTGAATATTCAATAAAATCAGTGTCTCTCTTATTGTCAGTTTATTTTACTGAATTATTTAGGATTACAGAAAATATATTGTCCTGTCAGTATCCTCTGTCAGTCTCTTCTTCCTTTTAAGCACCAAAATAAGTATGTCATGGTCAACTGTATAGAAAGCTTTTGCAGATCCACACAAATACACAACTTAACCCTTTGTCTAATTTGTTTATGTCTGTAGTTAAGTCAGTAACAGTAGGGATTGTGCTTGAATCATATCTAAAACCATATTGCATGTTAAACCAATAACTGGATGAGTCAAAGAATTGTACAATTTGGTTATTTACACATGATTCCAAGATCTTTGACATGGCTGCTAAAAAAAATATGAGCAAATAACTTCCAGGTTGCTTTGAGTCCCCTCTTTTCTCCTCTTAAAATCACCATTTTATTAGTGTTTGATTTTATTAGTTTTCTTATAATCTGTATATGGTTTTCTGAGACTTGTTGTCATTTGAATATGTATTTTCCTGGCTCTATATTAACTGGAGGTTTTGATGGAGGTGATATGTTATTTGCTAGAGATTTTTCTACATGTGTAAAATATTGATTTAATTAATAGATATGTTCTCATCATCATCTTTGGCTCTACAACCCTAGGTGGGTCTTGGCCTGTTCAAGAATTAGTCTCCATTCCCCCCTATCTTTCGTCTTGGCTTTCCAATTTCTGACCCCTGGATTCCTCAAGTCATCTTCGACTTTGGATCTAGATCTTGGCCTGCCTCTCCTCCTGGTTCCTACTGGCTCTTGATAGAATATCTGTCTTTGGGGGTCTCCAGGGTCCACTTTTTCAAGGTGTCCTAACCACCTTAGTCTATTAATTTTAATAGACTGGATGAGATATGTCCTCAGCTCTATTAAATGTAGAATTATGATATTGTCATTCTGAATTGTTACTGTCTTTTTTGTATGTTTTGAGTTGTGGATACTATTATTTAATGTTATATACCATATTATATGGTTGGGAAATTGTCAGACAGATGGACAGATAATGAAAGAGATAGAGTGGAGATTGAGAGAGAAAAAGAGGAAGAAATAGTCAGAAAATGTAGAGAATGTAGAGAATGTAGAGAATGTAGAGAATGTAGAGAATGTAGAGAATGTAGAGAATGTAGAGAATGTAGAGAATGTAGAGAATGTAGAGAATGTAGAGAATGTAGAGAATGTAGAGAATGTAGAGAATGTAGAGAATGTAGAGAATGTAGAGAATGTAGAGAATGTAGAGAATGTAGAGAATGTAGAGAATGTAGAGAATGTAGAGAATGTAGAGAATGTAGAGAATGTAGAGAATGTAGAGAATGTAGAGAATGTAGAGAATGTAGAGAATGTAGAGAATGTAGAGAATGTAGAGAATGTAGAGAATGTAGAGAATGTAGAGAATGTAGAGAATGTAGAGAATGTAGAGAATGTAGAGAATGTAGAGAATGTAGAGAATGTAGAGAATGTAGAGAATGTAGAGAATGTAGAGAATGTAGAGAATGTAGAGAATGTAGAGAATGTAGAGAATGTAGAGAATGTAGAGAATGTAGAGAATGTAGAGAATGTAGAGAATGTAGAGAATGTAGAGAATGTAGAGAATGTAGAGAATGTAGAGAATGTAGAGAATGTAAAGAATGTAAAGAATGTAAAGAATGTAAAGAATGTAGAGAATGTAGAGAATGTAGAGAATGTAGAGAATGTAGAGAGAGAGAGAGAGAGAGAGAGAGAGAGAGAGAGAGAGAGAGAGAGAGAGAGAGAGATAGTAGGTAGAGAATCTTTATCCATAAAGAGAATCTTTATCACTATTACTACCTACTACCATACTATACATACTACCTACTACCATACTATACATACTATCTACTACCATACTAAAAGGGACATAATGCACAGGGGCATCATGTCATTAGACTAAAACTAATATAAAGAGAATTTTCTATACACACTATAAAGAACTACTGAAAGAGAATCGAAAGATTCTAAACTGTATATGAATAATGAGACCTGGTTTAATTGTCAAATAATTTATAGTTAATCATGAATTAAATAAAATCAATAACAATATGAGTTAAAAGTTTCTACCCCACTTTAAAAATTTTAATTACAGTGATAAGGAAATTTATACACGTCACAAATACACCATAATATGCATAAAGATTATATGGAAAATAATATTTTCATTATAAATATAAATTTGTATTATCATGAAATTTAAAAAATAGTGTAGTCAGCTTTAAATAAGTATAACTAAAAGTAAAACACATTTTTATATAAAAAAGCCTACATGGTCGTTAAAAAACAACTGTTATGGAGGTTTATCGGATGTTAATGTAGAAATTTAGATGTAAATGTGCAAAAAGAACGGAAACAATTTTACATTATTTTATAAATACAAAACATTAAAATGTGAGACTGAGTTCCGAAATGGAAATGGAAATAAAATGTCAAAATAAACTTTTTTTAATTAAAATTGTGCCTTATTCTCAATAAAAATGATAAATTGAATAAAAAAATTAAGAATTTAGCTTGGTCATATTCATTAGAAATATTCATTCAAAAACAAAGACAGCGATTGCTTTCAGGGCCGAGCCTAGAGGTTTTGCCGCCCGGGTGCAAGAACTAAATTTGCCGCCTGATCAGCAGTTTCGGGAAACGTATATAAAAAAACATCGCAAATTAGGGAAAATTAATTAAAACCTAATTTTAAACATTTAATTCATAAAAATATATTTATTAAGTCCACGAATAGATGCATACTTATAATATAAATATGAGCTTATACAACATATTATGTACATAAATATAATTTGGTATAACTGAAATACAAAAATCTACATAGTT